CTGGCCTTACTACTAGGAGCAAGGACGCTACTAGGGGCTCCTGGCCTCAAGGACGCTACTAGGGGCTGCTGGCCTTACTACTTGGAGCAAGGACGCTACTAGGGGCTCCTGGCCTTACTACTAGGAGCAAGGACCGCTACTAGGGGCTCCTGGCCTTGCTACTACGAGGAGCAAAGACGCCACTTTGGCAGTTTCCACAGTTCTGTTCGTGCCTCAAGGCCCCATGGCGATCTGGGCAAAGAATCGGTTGAGGCCGTCCAGGCCGTGGCAGCTGTAGGAAGACCCACGAAATTGAGCCGATGGGCCATGTCGCTCATGCGTTATGTAGTCGAACATTAGTTTTCTTGTTTTTTTTTTAGATTCTACTGTAGTATATGATTTTATATTTGGTTCTGAATGATAGTGTTGATGTTGCAAGCTTGAGGCCTTTTGAACATGTACGTTTTCATTTTCGAAGAAACATGTTTCAAGAAGACAATTCTAAAGGACTGTGTCTGGAATCTCTAACCACAGTGTTTCCAAAAGGTCTTAGGGTTTTTCAATTTCCGAAACCACTTGCAAGCAAGGATGCTTCTGAAAGGCCTCAATGTGGTACAAATTCCAAGCACACAGTGTCGTGCAAATCGCAACCACGCCCTGTCCTAGGTTGCAAACTTGCCGTCACTTTGTGCGACTAAACTAAACTGAAAGCAAAACACCTGAATGCCAGAAGCTGTTGATTGCTGGCCCCGGCACAAAGATCGTGGTGAAGTTTCGTCCTTTGTAAATGAGGGAACGCTGAAAGAAGCTTTGCTTCATGAATTCGATTTCGGCCAATGCAGTCTAATGTTAACAGATCATCAAAATGGAAATACTAGTGGACTCAAAGCATTCAGAATTCTTGTAGCAAGGTCACGTACGTGCGGGTCACAGGAATGTTTGCGCCGCAGCAGCCTCATGCTCCAGCAACAACTAAGCAAGACACTAGTTCAAAAGTGACAATTGCCGCACTTAGTCGCAACCTGCTTACATCCATACGCACTGTTGACAAATTACTCTGACCGCTTGGATGTTGAACAAGAGTGGACCTTCATTGGGACATGGTCCATATTGAATCTGGACCGACGTTGCGTGCAGTACTGAGTGAGGCTCGACCCACCTGGAGCGAAAAGGATTTGGCAGCTGTGGAGGAGAAGCTCTCGCGGGTTGGTGTGACAACTGCAGAAAAGCTGGCAGAGCTGCTCTCTAATGGGCTCAACAAGCGTCTACTTGCTGCGGGGCAAAAGGCCTTCAACAGTGAGACTTTGGCAGCTTTAAGGCAGCGCCTTTCTCGAGAGAGCCCAACACAGGACAAAGATGACTGTGAACAGCAGGCACGACAAGCCCATGCAAGTGAAGGATGTCAGTCAACATTCTCCAGTGGCAGAGAAGGAAATGATTGCAAGCAGGACCTGGGCTCCAACAATTCCAGGCAGAAGAAGCCAGTTGAACCAAAGCCCAGCGAAGCCAGCTTTGTGCAGACCACTTTCTCACCATCAGCGCCATTTGGAAGACAGGAAGCTCTCGGTGAAACCCCGCTTATCAAAGCAGTGAGGCAGACTGATGTGCGCACTGTGCAATACTTGCTAGAGCATCGGTCCAATCCGAACGAAAAGGACGCTTTTTGCAATGCACTGCCTTTGCCAAATATTGAAGAACATTTGATGTGTTGAGAATTTGCAAGTTGAAAGTAGAGAAACAAGGAGAAACATTGTGTGAAGATTTTGAAGGGAACTATTCTTTGAAGGACAACTTCGGTGAAACGGCTTTGATGGAAGCAGCTGCCGTTGGTCATCCACAGCTTTGCAAAATCTTGCTGGAAAATTGTGCCAACGTAGCGTACAAGTCTCCCACAGGGCTTTCTGCTAAAGACTTTGCATCAGAGCATGAAGTCCTTTCGAATCTTGAGTTTGAAGTAATCAGTTCATTTTCAATGTCACATCTAGAGATTTAGTCATGTCTCACTTTGTTGACATTTTGCGCTTGAAAACTAAAGAAGATTGTGATGAGCTCAGGCATCTTTTTGCAGTGCCTGGAAATTACTGGCTCGACAGAGGTCTCAGGCTGGCTGCTCGCCAGCACAACTTAGGCAAGGCGGATCTATTGCTGAAAAGAGTCAAGGAGGAGAAACAGCCGATCGATGTGAACAAGGCAGATGGAAATGGCTTTACGCCACTGCATGTTTGCACGGCGAGATCTCCTGACTCCTCCGATGGGCTTGGCTTTGCAAAGCTATTGCTCGAAGAGTTTCTTGGACAGAAGATGCATACCACATCATACCACCACCTCAATTCATTCAGGAAGCATTCAAGCACTCTATACCAGGTTCAGTTGAAACAGTCCCGATTGTCTGAAGGAAAGCGATTGTCAATGCCACAAATCTCCTGGGAGAGACCCCGCTGATTCTTGCCACGCGTGCATCTGCTGATACGAAGAACAAGTCCTGCCGCCTTAGTATCCTGGATTGGATGCAGCAGTTTTTGAATACTTACGTGGGATGCAGAAATCAAAAGCTGGCATAGCCTTAAAGAATCAGAGTGTCAGTCTTGGGTTTGCAATTGAGGCATTGTGAAGCTACTTTTGGAAAGCCGCGCAGCAGTAAATACGTCCGATTCAGTTCTGCATGAGACACCTCTCATGGAGGCGGCAGGCATAGGAGAACCGATGCCTTGTCTGGTGACCAGTGGAAGAGAAGCACGTGGCCAAAAAGCATTTCTTTTTGATAAATGTATCTCGCTTTGTGAGGAGATTCTGAACTTGTGCTCACACTGCTCCGGGCTGGTGCAGATCATTTGCGCAGCAGCGCCAGTGGTCAAACAGCCCTGGACTTCGCCCGGGCAGAAGAGGCCGGGTCGGGAGATGCGCAGGCCTTGTCCCACATACTTTGCCATTCAGGTGCAGTGGATGCTCAAGAACCCAATGCAAGCCACCTCAGGATCACCTTGGCCAAGTGCTCCCAGATCCTTTCTTTGCAGACCATATATATATATATATAATGGCCTTGTTAAGAAATTATAGGTTTAGGTGGAGGGGTGGAGGCCATCGCACTTAGGTTGGAGGCCATTGCGTCGATATTATGATCGAACATAATGAAACCGCTGCACTTTTGCCTTGGTGCCGAGGACCTCAACCGAATGCACCTGTGCCTCCTCCAGTGGCACAGCCCAAGACTCCGCTCTTCACCAAGACGCAACCTCCCTCTGGATATTTTACAGGGGGTACCAAAGCCGGACCATCGAAAGGCAGGTTTTTTTTTGTTTTTTTCGCTAGTGATAGTGAATCTTTTGACATTGAAGTTGAATCCTTATATATATATATATATATCTTTTTGCACTCGTGACACAGGGGTGAACTGCTTGCCTCTGGCTGTAAATCGCAGCATTGATCCCAGGCCTCCCAGATGCAAGGTTGCCAAGCCTCACAGAGGAGACTGCAAAGCCTTCACAGAATGGCCTCTCGGCCTGTCACATTTATCGCACAGGGACAATCTCACAAGCTGTCAACCGAAGTGCCAGCAACCCAGATGCAAACCAGCACGCTCATTGCGACACATTGCCCTCAACCAGCTGATCCCATGTGCCCGCTGAGAAGCTGCACATTCACACTCTGCTGCACACTGCTGTCAACCCTGTCAACCTACCATTTCACATTTTGCAGCGAAAAAGTCAACTGCGATGTTGCGTATCGCTGCAATAGGAAACTCGCTTGGCAACAACCTTAGGAAAGCCATGTCCTTCAAGGGACAATGCTGCTGACAACAGTGACGCAACTACGCTGACTTCCAAACCAAGTGGGAACAGATCACGCTGTGTCAGTGCCTGTGCAGGACGCATGCAGGCTGAAATTCTTCGGTGACTGACTGACCGTACTTACTTATCACTTACAACGTACAGAAGAGCTGTGGTCACAGTGGTCATGTCCTTGACAACGCACCACTGGGTGGTGACAACCCCAAAGCGTGGAAGCCTTATCGTTTGCAGGCAGTTGCTGACTCTTCATCCCGGAATTCAATTTCCCACTCAGAAATGCAATGCAATGTGCCCTCAGCATTTTGTACTGTATCCTTTGCAGAGCTGCTTCCGAGCTCATCCACAGCTCTCCATGTCAGAATGTTCAACAGATTTTGACAGAGCCCTGTCACTTAGCTTGCGTGTCCCCATAAGCTAGGCAATCCCCAGTACGTCATGTGTAGTATGGACAGCTGCACGGCGCGGGCCCAAAACACGGCGCCGTGTTGACAGCCTCCATGCATTCCAGCCCTTTGTGACCGTGAGTCTTGTTGGCTTTGCCGCTTGCTTTTTCCTCTTTGATGAAAAGGGAACAAGACAGACAGCTACAGTCACCGGGAAGTCAACTCTCCAGATTTTTGGAAGGCGGTGCAATGCCAAAGCTTCCGCAGACTTATGCAGAAAGGTTACAGCTCCTTGGCTGTCCTCCCGCAAAGCTCCTGCGCCCGTTAACAGCATATTGCTGATTGTTGCATGTCTTTTCCCAAGAGCAACTTGGAACAAAGCCCAGGAGGCTACTTGCCAAATATCCGGGCTTTGTAGGCTGGGCTGCAAAGACGCAAGAGACTTGCAATGTTGAAAACTACAGTGCACTGCAGCGTGGTCCTGTGAGGTTCTGGGGTGGACATGCCCAGCCATGCATGGCAGTGGACAAATGAAGAGCTGGAACTATTCATTGGCAGCCCGCTGTTGATGAGCATGAACAGCGAAACACATAGGTGGCACACGCATTTCATCCAAGGTAGCATGGGCCAGTTCTGGCCGCCGAATCGAGCTAAACCCAGTCTTCGACTTAGCCAATGCATGCTTGGCTCGTTGCCGAAAGTCGATGTTTGCTGTGTCAAGGCATGAAGCCACCACCAAATGCAGGCGTGCGTAAATTGAGTCATAGAGCCTGAGCCAACCATAGAACATCAAGCAATGTCAACCTTGTTGATGTGTTATTCCCCAGATAGCGACAGCTATGGGGTTCTTACTTCAAATAACAATGAGTTGCCAGTGCGCGCTTTCGAGACAAGTTGCTGGTGCTGGGTGCGGTGCTGGTGCTGGTGCTGGGTGCCGGGTGCCGGTGCTGGTATGTGAGCTGGCTGTGCACGCCGTGGAGACAGGTTGCTGGTGCGGTGCTGGTGCTGGGTGCCCGGTGCCGGTGCTGGTGCTGTGAGCTGGCTGTGCACGTGGTGGAGACAGGTTGCTGGTGCGCACAGCCAGCTCACAGCAACAGCACCAGCGCCGGCACGTGCACAGCCAACCCGGCACCCGGGCAACAGAGGAAACCAGTGACGCTGGGACAGCCTAGATTGCCATCACTGAAGGAACCAGAGATTCACTTCGTGACACACATCCCGTACGCCCCATGGTGCCAAGCATGTGTGGCCACAAAGAGGATAAATATGAAACTCAGGACAATAAACCAGACCTCAGAAAGAACGTCATTCAGCTCGACTTCTTCTTCCCCTAGACCGGTGAAGAGACCAGGACGGAGGAAGCACCAATGGATAAAGTGAAAGAATGAGCTGATCAGTATGGTGCATGTCTGGTGATGACCTCCTCAGAAACCAAGGCCATGCACGTGGTTCCTGTCCCATCAAAAGGCACTGCCAGTCTGAAGACGGTGACGGAGGAAATCATCAGATTCTCTATGGAGAACTCTTCAGCAGATTCCAAGAAGATTCAGAGAGGGCTATGAGACAGATTCTGAGGTCAGTGCAGCAGGTGAGGACAGTCATGGGCTTACCCTGTGAAACACGACTGACTGGAAGTGGCCAGCGCGCATCAAATGGACAAGTGGCTGTGCAGACAGCGCGCAAGATGGCAGATTGCCTGAGGTCATTTGCTGAGACCAAAGACCACATTCAGATTGACGGGAGCTTTCACATGTACCCATGGGCATTCAGGCATGCATCATTTCTCATCAACCGCTTCAGGGTGCTGGAGAAGATTGGCCGCGCAAGCTATGAACTGGCGACTGGACATGCATATAATGGGAAGCTTGCGTTGTATGGGGAGACTGTGCTTTTCAAGCGTCTGGTCAAGTACAAAGGCAGTGACACCTTTGAACGTGGCATTTGGGTTGGAAAGAGTTGCTGGAATGATCAACACGTGATCCACGTGACTGAAGGAGCCTTTGAATCGAGGACAACCAGAAGGTGTGCGCCAGAGGAAAGCTTTCGAGGCGCGGGCATGGTGATAGCCAAAGGTTTACCATGGAGCTATGCTCAGCGATACAGACAACCCACATTGGAGGCTGAGGCGACAGAGGAAGAGCTTGAGGCGATTTCAGAAGCAATCGCCGCAGGAGTGGTGACACCAGCACCAGGTCCACATGGGCAACCAAAGACACCAGCGGCAGCAGCGCCAGGTGCACCGACAACACTGGGCCTATACCGTTGACTCCGAGGACAAAAGAGGCCAGCTGATGAAGGAGCGCAAGATGAACCTGAAGAGAAGAGGCAGGGTAGAACAGAGTCCCCAAGGAAAGGCCATGAGAAAAGGGAAGCTCAAGGTGAAGAGGTCGACGCAGAGAAGAGACAGAAGGTGCAAGCTGCAAGAGGCGGAGAGCAAAGAAGATGCAACCATGGTACCAAGTGCATCAAGGCCAAGGGAAGAAGGACCAGAATTGTCTCCGGCGGCATCCCCGGCAAAAGTGGCAAGGCTGTATCCACCGCATTTTGCAGGAATACAAGCTATTGAAGTGCATGGTGATGAAGAGTTCGAGTAGACCATGGCGCCGGAGGACATGAATGAGGAGCTGCAAGAGGATGGAGGAGATGATGAAGAGCCACCGATTGCATCAGAGGAGAACGTGAGGATGTTAGACCAAGAGGCAAAGAACAATGAGTGGACAGAATGGTGAGCATCCCGGTGATGGAAGAAGTGAAGTTAGAGGAAGTACGAGCAAGTGGAGGATACTTGATCTCCACAAAATTCGTCTACTGCTGGAAGCGCAGGGTTGAACGTGAAGGATGGTTTCGAAGAGCACGCCTGGTCGCGAGGCAGTTCAAGACCAGTGTGGACATGGAACAAGCGTTCGCCCCGACGCCAGTGCTCGTGATCCCAAAGATGCTCATCAACCTCACGCTGAACGTCTCCAGGAACTTCGTGGCCATGACGTCAGACATCAAGGACGCATTTCTGATGGCTGCGCAACCTGAGGATGAGAAGGCCTATGTGGAAGTTGATGGCAAAGCCTACAAGTTGATTAGATGCTTGCCAGGGCAGCGGACAGCAGCATCGCAGTGGTTTCAGCTTTTCACTGGGGCTGCAAAAGAGTCTGGCGTGGAGCAGTATATCATGCAGCCCACACTGCTGATGATTCACAAGGTGATTTACATCACAGTCCATGTGGATGATGTCTTCATGGTCGGAGACGAGAAGGCCATGAAGGAATTTGTCGACTTCCTCAAGATGAAGAAGAAATGGAGCATTGAGGAGAAAGGACGATTCCTGATGGGAGAGAGATTTTCCTACTTGAAGAGGGACTTCACCCTCTACAGGAGTTGGTGTGACATTCGCTGCGACTACAAGCAATATGAGAGCCTTGGAAAGGAGATGGACCTATACAGGAAAACTCATATGGAGCAAAGCTTCAGCAAGAGAGATGAGGGTGAAGAACTTCAAGGAGCTGAAGTGACGAGGTACAGGAGTGTTGTGGGACGGCTGATGTACCTTGCAGGCGAGCGCCCGGATGCGCAATTCGCCATTCAAGCCCGCTTCATGTCTCGCCCTACGAAACAAGCTTGGAACAAGGCATGGCGCGTGTGCTCCTATTTGCAGGGCACAGAGGGCTATGGAGTGAGGCTGACAGCAAGGGCCAAAGGGCAGTCAGTGATGAATGTGAAGGACTCCGAGGAAGTGGAGGACAAAGAACAACATCTCCTGGAGGTGGTCACAGATGCAGATTACGCAGGAGACCGCAATGACCGCAGAAGCACCACTTCTTTCCAGGTGTTCATTGACGGCAACCTCATGGAGTCGAGGGTGAGAGCACAAAAGGCGATATCCCTTTCATCAGGCGAATCAGAATTTGTGGCCGTAGTGGCGGGATCCTCAGATGGAATGCTCATCAAGCACCTATGGGAGAAGATCACTGAGGAAAAGTGCGAGATGAAGGTACGATCCGACAGCTTAGCTGCAAGAGCGATGGTCCAACGACAAGGCATCGGTCCAGTTCGACGCCTAGACGCTTCATTGCTCTGGGCTCAACAAAAGGAGAAGGATAAAACCCTGAGCATTGGACCCATTCCAACAGAGCTCAACTGTGTAGATTTGGGCGCAAAAGCTTTGACAAAGAAGCGCATGCTGGGACTCCTCTACATGCTGAAGGTGGCGCAGCATGGTGGAGAGAGAGAGAGAGTGAGTTGGAGAAGGGGAGTACAAGGAGCTCGAGCACTGAGAGCAAATGAAGAAGGGATTGAAGAAGGTGATGAAAAGCAAAGACCTTCACATCGGGCTGTTGCTGATGATGGCAACCATGGATCAAGCCGCAGGAAGGAGTACCGGGAACTGCGAGAGTTAGTGATGAGTGCAACAGATATGCCTGCAGAGTATGTAGCCCCCGAGGTTTTGTTTTTCCTATTGTGTTCACCTTGACAGTAAGGTGGCGCCGTACTTGAGGCCGAGGAGGACACTGCAGCGAATCTGACAGAGAGGCACCCAGATTCGTTACTAAATCATTATTTTGGAAATCATGTTTTTGGGACCAGGATGAAGCGCGCATAAACGTACTGTGCGTGCGCCTCATCCGGGTTGCGCTGTCCTGTCACTGGATGTGAAACTCGATGATGCAGCAATGCAATGCTTGGCTCCAGCTTCGCAAGTCCATAGAAGCGTGGCCTTTGGATGCTGCTGTCATTTAATTTACAGGCCTACGGAGCGAGTGTCGCTGTTGCTTGGAAGTTTGAAAGCTGCGTGTAGCTTACAAGACATTGTGGAGACATCGTCTTTGAAGGTCACTGTGGAAGCAGCATCCCTGAGGAGAATGAGAAGGAAGAAGATCAAGGATGGCAGTGGATGATGTTTTGGCTATACGCCATACTTGGAGCCTTGGGCCTGGCAGAGTGGCTGCGGCGCATGGTGATCAACAAGATGATCTTCATGGCGTGGGGCTACATCGTGCCCAGCTTGGAGACGGCAATTAAGAAGATTGAGAAGTACATGGTTGACGATGAGAAAAAGTGGAGAAGGCAACGCAAGCCTGTTGCTGGGTGGACTTCGAAGTTTTGAGACACTATGAAAAGTCTTTCAGCTTGAGACATACATTGAGGAGCTGGAGGACACGATCAAGGAGGTGCGAGACCCAAGGGACATGGCTTTATAAGAAACCCAAGCCACCTCGAGACACAGCTTAAAGCTGATGAGGCAAAGCCTCAACTACAAGGTGTGCAAGAGTGGAAAAAGAATCCACTATGCCGAAAACTGCCCTTACTTTAGAAGGGCGGAGGCGTTTGAGCTTTGTAGCGTTTGCATGGGTGATGGGGGCGTGACAGATTACACCGCATCGTCAGTCGCCCATGCATAACACGCACAAATCGAGCGTACCAAACATTGTATAGGCTCAAGCCTGTGTGCGAAAACGCTTGTTTTTCTTCGCAAAAAACGTATTGGACAATTACCTATCATTTCCTCTATAACTTTCACGACCTTGATTATATGACTATGTATAAAAAGAGACGTGTATGGTGGTTTTCTGACTTTGAAGGGACTTATGTTTTTAGAAACCGTTCATTCAAAGTAAAGGACATCTTGGAATTCTTTTTGCGTGAATACCTCAGAGAACTACTATGAGCACTGCGTCAACGAAACAGAAATAGAAGAGCGCCTACAAAAAAACTATAGACGCTTAAAGAAAAATACCTATAAATAATACGAAACATATGCCTATGATTGGAGTAAACGAAGAATTGAAAGGGATAGGGAGAGATTGTTGAACTTTATAAAGGAACATCCATATCCAGACTATGACTTAGTATCAAAGCAGTTGATACTACAAAAGCGCAAGGACTTAGAACAATACGCAGAGTATGGAGAAATAAACCACGACCTGTTGAAAGAGATTTGTGAAAACATCTTTGATAAAGACATTGTGAAAAGAAACGGTGAGATGATATACAAACGAGGAGGAATGTGAGCACTACAACAAAAATTACTATTCACTATTGTCAGTGTTGGGTCATTTGGTTCAGCAACGAACTATGGATAGAGATACAATCATCTTAGTCTTCTACAACATCAAAACGATTGTATCTGAAGATTGGGATGGAGTAGGTGAATGGAGAGATTAAAACCACAACATAACTATAACTATAGACTATAAGCCCTTACAATCTATAACCATAGCATACTTACAACCTATAAACCCAGACATCGCAAATAACACAACAGCCACCCAAGATAACAAAACAAAAAATGAATAAAATCAATGAACGTAAGAAGATGAAGAAAATGCCAAGAAAAAATGAACAAGGATAGGATGAAACAAAATGATGAAAATGTATCAAAATCCACAGAGGGAAAAACATCAACAGCAAGGAACACACATTGAACTTCAACATAAAACCACAACAGGCAACACTAGACCAAAGCTGGCCTAGCATCCCCTTTTTACCATTTTTTCCTGGCGTGTGCAGGTCACCAGCTGCCACCTTCCCCCCCAAGCCACTGGAGGAGAATCACTGTCACTGGAGGAGACCTTAGTACATGGCATGTAGCGTGCTGGTGCTGCAGGGCAGGGTGTTGCTGCTAGATGTTTGTCGCAATGTGCGCTTTGGAGCCTGGGCGCTGGTGCTGCTGCAGGTTGCTGTTGGGCGCCACCAACAAATTTTGCTATTTGGGGCTATGCTAGCGTTTATCGTATTTTGTGGTTGTTTGGAGGCAGGAAAGCGCCGCCGCCAGATCCTTGGGACCGTCCTCGACCTTCCCTGCGACCCTTCTACGAGGTGTCAACTGGGCTGAGAAAATGGCTTCAGCCTTTGGCACATTGCGGAACTCGGTTAGAGTCGGCTTGTTGCGCAAGGTCTTGGGTCTGCCAGATGGCACAAAGAATCATCAGGTCCTCAAAAAGGCATACCGGTGGTGTGCTCAGCTGTCGTTTGCTCTTCTTCAGCTGCGACGTGTGTCAAAAGTGAGGCAAGCGGCCCTGAAATGGCATCCAGACAAAAACCCGAACGATCCTCATGCTGCCAGCAATTTCCAAAAGGCCTGCAACGCGTTTGAGCAGCTTGGCAAGAGCTTGGTGTGTGAATCGTAGCAGTTCTGATGCTTTGTTTCTGGGTCGGTGCAAGTGCCAAGGCAGATTTGCAAGGCGCTTGGGCTTGGCAACCTCTAATCCTGCACCACAGGAAAAGCCGACGCAGGTCGAGGTGCAAAGCTCTTCTGAAGAATCCCGACCAGAAAGGGAGCAATGGCATCTCCATTCTTGATTCAGAGATGTCAAGAAAGGGACAAGTGATTTTTCCTTGGGCTTGCGTGAGACATTTGTTCTTCTTGAGGTTGCATGGTGTTGCCAATCAGTCAAGGGATTAATCAGGCCATGTTGTGTCAACAGAATCCAATCATCAGAACATATCAGAGCACTTCAGGCAAAGTTTGACAAACCGAAACATGAGTGACAAAAGGATTTGAAGGGTGTTGGTAAACATATGTGTACTCTGAGCGACATGATATTGTAGGAACAAAAACATCCAGAAGGTTCAAATTCTTCAATTGAAATCTGACAATGTCTTCATTGATTGGGCGCAATGGGTGCCGAGCTGCTTGGCTTTGGTTGCTACATGCTTCAGGAATTTGGCGCGCACACCGATTTGTTTTAAGGTCCACAGCGCCCCATTGGCCAGGCGCTTCGCAGTTTTTAGTTCTCTTTTGTTTGTTTTCAGCTCTTGGCAGTACAAAGCATTTCCCTGTCAGCTTGCTGCTGCTGTTCCCTTTGGCATCGGCTCAGGACCGTGCAGCATAGAAAACATACTTTTCACATTTTTCCCCAACAGCAGAATGCGTTGGGGTCTTCAGCCATAGTAAAGGCTTCGGAGCAGGCCGGAGCAGCTTCGAAAGACAAGGTTCCCAGGTTCCTGACAAGGTTCCCAGGTTCCCACAAGGTTACCGCCTGGTTCCCAGAAGGTTCCCAAGGTTCCCGCAAGGTTCCCACAAGAAGGTTCCAAGGTTCCCCCAAGGTTCCCAAGC